CCACCAAGACATACCTCCAACAAAATGAATGCTATAAATAGGAGCAGATGTTTTTCCTGTAGAAAACAAACAAAAAGAAACGATGTGTCTGGCTGCACATTTTAAATAAAGTTTACTTTATAATTTCTCATTTTCTTTTAAATGCCACACATTTACAACAACCCTGACTGATCCTTGTTCTTTAGCAAGAGATCCTCGCTCGCATTGATTTTTCACAGTTAGTTGGGATGACTGTCTCAGTTAATAAAAAAAAAAACACAACAACCTAAAATACAGTGCTGTCTTGAAGCAATGGATGGCTTTTTAAAGGTCAGGGATTTACAAGGTTCAAATAGCTCTCGTTCCTTTTTTGAAGAGATTGAATTGTAGCATGTTGAGTGGGAGGCATCGCAGCAGAAAAATTTAAGTCGAGAGATTGGAAAGCTGTTTAACATGATTAGCCGAAGAGGTAGGATGTCTGGAAGGAAGCTGATAACAAGATGTTGGTGCCAGCAAGAGATACTGAGGTGTTTAGTATATAAAAATGAACAGGCTGAAACGCTCATAAAGCTTTTTCTGAGTATATTTTACCTGTTACTTCATCTGACTCATGCTCAGTAGTTTGATCAATGTTGTGTCTTTTATTTTGTCTCACAAACAGTATATTGCTTTGAAATTAAATCACAGCATTTAATAAAGGCCAAGATATCCTTGAAGGGATACCAATCACTCATCCTTTCTCATGATGGGAGGAAAAATGTGTAGCTTGTTTGAAACACACCTTGCCAACTAAATGCAAACTCTCATGCAATATTATGACATCTTGCCAAATCTATCTTCATTTTGCTGAGATCATGCAGCTGCGGAAGGCCATTTTGACTCAGATTGACTTTAAAAAGTATTCAGGGAGTGAGTTCCATTCATATCTGCTCAGCGGTTCATGAGATAAAAGCTTCAGTAACATGACAAATGCAGACACAGGCATGGGCAAAAACATTATCGCTCTTTCAACTTTGTTGGCAGGTGAATATCAGCAACAGATGCTTAAAGAGACAAGGGGGAAATCAGCTTGCAAGTAAAGTACAGATATGATGCAGAATTGTCAGATGAGTGAACCCAGCAGTTTAGGAACTAGAAACTAAAGATTACAAGGAAACAAAACAAAAGCTGCTGTGGCAGAAAAAAGCAGAGCACTGGGAAGTGCCATGTCATGGCACATGAGCACAACAATGCCCTACTGATGAGTGAGGTGAAACTACGGGACTATAAGGACAGGGGCTGATTGGCAGAGCTGCTGCAGCTGTGACTGACAAAAGAACAGGTGTTGATGGGCGTGGCAGGCTGACAGAAAACATAAGGGCGGCCGTTTTCGGCATATAATTATTTTCCACGGTTTTCTCAAAATAACGACAAATTATGTCGACTGCAGATCAGCAGGAGTTTACACAGTGATCCTGCTGATATAATAAAACTTTATCAGTGACCACCTGAGGGGATCAGGCCATCCCCATGATTACTGAATGATACACAAGAAAACCATAACTCATTATCTCGAGAAAATGTTCCTCGTTAATTTGTGATAACAATATAATATGTCGTTATCACAAGAAAACAATGGGAAAAAAACAGATGCAGAAAACGTCTGCTCTCAGCTTCCGTAACGAAACAACTGATGGCAGAGGAAAAGACCTGAACACGAAGAATAAGCAAATGAAAACACAAAAACTGAAATAAACAAAATGAACTAAATAATTTTTAAAAATGCACAAAAAATAACTGCAAGAAACTCAGAACTTTAACAGGTACAATGCAATATGAATACAATGTGACATGACATGACACTGTATGACAAAACACGATATAATAAAATGCTGTATAATATGGTAAATAAACTTTATTGTTTATTATTTGTTTTGGACTCAGTTCTATTGTAACAGATGCCTTTGTAAAAAAAAATAAACAGGCTATCAAATCACTCACACAATATAAACTAGATCTATCAGTACAATGCAATGTACAGAAAGGTACGTTAATATATTTACGTACAAAATAACTGTTTTTTTAACTGCACGTACTGTCTCTGTTACATTTTTAACTTGACATCTTACACAACAAATGAGTGGCAGAGCACAAAACAGGCATCTAAAGCTTCCTGTCTTCAATCAAAATCAAGGAACACCTTGTGCCAAAGAGAACCCCAGTGGGACATGAAGACAAAAATTGAGTCTTGTAATACTGGAGTCTGATTGGTCGCCACATGATGGGGGTGGAAGACGAGTGTTGTTTGTTTGACAGGTTGGAGTGTGGGTGAAGACGAAGCACACATGCCTCCCCCATACATATAAGCCCCTTTTCTTCAGTCTATATTTTCTTGTTCAACGCACAAATTGCACACAGCACGTGCGTTTACACCCCTATTTCTGCACACTAAAATTGGATCTTTCAGACATGTGACAATGAGCACAATAGAGGAGATAACAGTCATGTCTTGAACCCATGTGTCTTTTTTCCCCCCTCAAAACGTCTCCTTGCTTATGCACCTTCATCTCCGGTCCTGACACCCGTCAGTCTGCAGCAACACCCACAATCTTCTGTCTTAAAAAGGAACCAGATTGATTTTAATTTGGACCATTAATCTATTGCAGTCTGTACCCTCTCAAAAGTCACACATTCCCTTAAGTAATATCCTCAGAAACGGTTGAAAGATAAATGTCGTAATCATGCAGGTGAAGAAAGATGTAACTGAGGCGGGAGTTTAGATGTTCACTCACTTCCTTTTATAAATGATTTCTACAGAAATGTAACTGATTCACTGGAGAACTTGTTTTCTTTTTGGTTAAAGTACACGTTTGAAGGTCAGATTTCAACAGTTCCTGAAAGATCATTTTCCTGGTAACTTGAAATTCGCTGAAATCAACAAGTCTGCTTTGAATCAGGCCAAATAAATAAATAAATAAATTAGCTGCTAGTGTGAAATAAAGACCAATGATTTAAAATACTGAATACTTAGTTCCAACAGTTTTCAGCAAATAATAAAATAAAATAAAATGTTAAAGGTTTAAGATTCCTTGAAGCTGCCCATTTCACGCACCACTTTTTATGCCAGAAAAATGATTTCCGGTAAATTGTAAGTGTTTTGATCAGTCCTTGAAAATGATGTTAAGCAATCTTATGCAATACTCTTAGGTGACATACTTTTGATGTGGTAGTAGCTGAGAGTCATTCATAACTCCTTAGAGTTCATATTAATGTTTCAAGCAAAGATTCTGCTCAATGATTAGCACTTTAAATGCCTTGAAATTGGTCTCTGACTCCTACCATTTCCGACACTCCCACTTCAGCATGTCTTTACGATCATGCTTCAGAAGAGGGGTGCTCTGTGGGGTGGGAGTCCGGCTACAGACTGAGCTCCAGGGAGGAGCTTTTTACAAATAGGCGGTGCTTTGTACCAGCATGCGTTTAGGCAGCTCCACATATCTACAGGAGATTCAAGGATTTTTTAAAACATGAATCAAAGAGTCAAAGCCACTCTGGGAACGTTTTGATGAGGAAATGACATTATAATACGATATAAAGCTCAATAAAGTGTTATGGTTTGGTTTAGGAAGTTTTTTGCTAACCTACAGACAAAGTTGACTACAAGTAATGCACTTAATTTCAAAGTTTTTAACAAAAATCTTGTGCAGTATTTTAGAGATCAGAGTATGAGCTGAGAATGTTGCCATGTCAAATTTTAAGTCATTATCTGTCAAACTGACTGTGTGACAGCTGTAGTGGCCATCGTGTATGAGACTGATTATAAAAACTTTATTATTATTTTCTGCAGTGGTTCATTAGATATTTTCATAGCAGACACATTATAGTTATGAGTTTGTAGCATATTTTTTTTATAATTTTATTACAGCAGAAATCCAGGCATCTTTACCTCCTAAATGTAGTTCATTATTCATTGGAACAGTACTCTAATTCTGCCTTACAGTCACAAATCAGAAATGTAATCCTGTCATTTTCCTGAGTGAACTGCCAATAGAAACATATTTATCAATGGAGCACAAAAAAGAAAGAGTTTAGAACAAATTTTTTGGCATATAAGAGCAAGAAATGCGATATTTTATTTCCCCATTCTGCCAACAATAAAAAAAATGTACAGAAATATCTGAGTCGTTTCACTCGACCGGTCTGTTTACGTTGCCATAGAGCTGTTCTATTTTATGTGAGCTATTTCATCTAGCTGCCAACCTCCAACAAATCCTCTGAGGTATTTTCTCCAGCACTAAAACCGGCACCTCACACAAAGCTATGAGCTTGTTTTATTAGGACCTGTGAGCCCAGCTGATGCTGCCACAAAGGCAGAAAATTACAGACACATTACCCTGCGTTCTTCCTCTGCCTCTATGTTTGTAAGTATGTATGGACCTTACATTTCCATATCTGTGCATCTTCTTCTTCCAGCAGCATCAGTGGTGTTGCTGTTAGCCAAATTTAGGTACCATATCCTTTTGATTGGTGATACAAACTGCTTTTGTAAGAAACAAACACGTGTGCAAGATTTTTTTTACAGCTAATTTGTTTGGTTTTTAATGAGTTTCAGAAATGATCTTCAAGCCCAGCAGGAAAGCTCATGAGATCTGAAGAATGTATGGGTTAATTATGTGATAAAAACATCCTATTCATTTTTTTTGGATCCCAAATCCCTAACAGAATATACTGTATCTCCCAAACATTATGGTGAATAGACCAGTTTCTTTGGTTCATTGTGACTCCAAGCAGTGTCCATGCACTTCGTAGTTTTTCCTCAATTGTCAGTTTTTTATACGTCTAAAACCAAAAGTTATTATTGGCTGTAGCATATGTGGATAGATGGGTACAAGAAAAAGAAAAACCTTCAGTGATTGCTGCTTTGCTCTAGCTTTTGCGCAGTCAGTAGCATTTATGGTGCACGCTAGTTTTTGTATTACGGTAACAGTGGTGCGCGTTGCCCTGAACGCTGGTTATTACGGTGCTGTATTGTTTGCTGCTCCGGGGTCCGTGAAAGCACGAGCGCTGCCATGAGCTTCCCCACTAACCGCTCCACTCTCACTCCGTATAACCTCGGCTAACGCTCCCCTCAGAAGCAAACTCTGGATACCGCTCCGCTTCCCGCTGTAAGTTACACTTTAATAAACCTCTCGTTTCTTTTTTTACTCTCTTTGCCACTTGTCGTCACACAGGACTACACTTTTTCTTTTTAAATTAGGATGCTTCGCGCTTTGTTTCGTGTCGGTGAGTCTCGAGGGAATTGATAATTAACCGCTAGCTAAAATATAACTGGTCTCGCGCTGTGCGTTCGGATAAGCATTAAAGCAGGTTTTGTTTTCGGAGGCTGAAGTTTGGTTGAGCTCTGATTGTTCAGGTGACTTTTTTTTAAGTTATATTGAATGCAAAAGCGCTGGGCAGAAGTTGAGGTTAAAGGATAGTCTTGTTAAAACTGTATATTTCATTCAAATTTTCGTCCAGCTTCATATTAATTAAACGCTTTTAGCTCCTGCGTTTTGCTCCGTTTGGCCGCTGGACTCCACCCAATAACCGTGAAGTTTCTGCAGCAAAGAGAACATGTTTGTTTATTTTATTACATCATGTTCCACGTTTTTTTGCTGGGTTTTCACTCAGACCTCCACATTTCTTTTACTCAAATCGTTTCTCCCATAAAACAATCCTAATATCAGATAAATAAATTGTGCAGTGAGAAATAAAACAAATCAGTACTTTTATCTAATGTATTCCGAGGAAAGAAAGCACGAGGTTGTTTCTTGCGGAGATAAAAAAACCTTCTTCAGTAGTGTTTATCAGCAGGAGAAGAGGATCATATCTCTGTGCTGTAGTGTTTATATGAAAATGGCATGCCCCCCCCCCTCCCCCCAGACTAAACACAGCTGAGTTTTATACACCTAAATTAAACTCAAGCTATAAAGGCAGTCTAAATTCTTTAAAAAAAAAAAACTTTTTTAGCTGTTGCTCAGTTTAAGAAGAGATAAACCGAGTTAAAATGTGTCTCCAGTTCACTGAAGTGTGTTTCAAGTCTTTTCCTTGGGAGAAGTTCAGCACTGCTGCAGCCCACACTTGTCAGAAATTGTGGAAAAATTCCCAAATCAATTTTTCATGAGAGGATCGCTCATTTGATGACTGAACCTTAAGCTCCACTCCTATTTGCTGATTTTTCTGAATGTTTTAACTGGCAGAACAGACAATGAAGTGTTGTGTTTTGTTTGTTTTTCCCTCCTAAAAGTGACTCATCTGTTTTGCACATGATCGTGCATTGATATAATGCCAAAACCAGTGGAACGCCCAGCAAAACCTGATCTGGGATGCTGGTGTAGGTCAGACGCGGGCGGGTATGTTGATGAAATCATTGCGATATTTCACAATGATCCAGCTGATAACAGGGATTTCATCCTTATGCATGAAGCTGTTTATTATATGGATGATTTATAGGGGTAGTTTTTTATGAATAAAGCCTGATTCCCATGGCAGCAGCAGCAATGCTGTCTTCCTCTAATCACCTTGTGCTCAGGCACATCATCCAGGCTGTGTGGGTGAGCAGGGGTTTCTAATTGGCTGAAGAAATAGGAGCGATATAACGGGGCTTCCATCACTGTTCTTTCTGCCCACAGTGAGAAAGTTTCTAGCTTTGTAAGGGATAAAAAAGAAGAGAAAAATGTTGGTTTGAAGTGAGCTGCAGTGGGTGTCAGTTGATGTTTCTGTGGTTGCGCTGAGGTAGCCGTTGGCCCCGTTCTTTTGGCTCGTATGGTTAGATGCTTCTGTGTTGTAAACCACAAACATTAGGTATTTTCTTTATGAAGTAGCATTGTAATGTCTGAAAGGGTCTGGTGAAAATGTCAAATGGGACTTGTGGATGACATCATTGACATGTTTCATCTCCAAAGAACGCTTAATAAAGGGTCAAATTGTCACCTTTGCTCAACAGCTTTTATTTTTAAAGGAAGATGAGCTGTTACCCCAGAGTCACTGGACTGCGCACGTTTCGCTCGTTTCTGCCAGTGTGTGTTGAACCACACTGGACGGAGGCAGTGAAGTAGTCCTTGGAGAGCTACAGTAGCTCATAGGGCAGTTTGGTTTTGTCAAAAGGCACTGAGGCAGATTCTAGAGACTGAATACAACCCCAGGGACACAGAGGGTTCTGTACACCCTCTTTATAAGCTATAAAATGGGCAACTAAAACAGATGGTAACACATCTTTTATTTTAACACATCGTTGCGTTACACAATCTAAGAACAACTTGGCAAAGTGAGAGTGTGAACGGTTTTTATGGGTGTTTTAAGATAAGCACATGTGCATTTGCGGGTCGTTAAACATGAGAGTAGTTTTCATGCTGAATGAAGTGCTGGTCTCGAACACAAATAAGCAGCACAGTTGCAACAGGATGAAGATGCACCAATTGGGACACTTTATATGTAAAAGAAGGGTTGATTATGTATCAGAAAAACATAGTTTTGTTTTCCATTTAGCTGTTTTTAAATACGGTTTTGTTTTAAGAAGTTTGTCTCAGAAAAGCAAAAGCAGTCCACTATATTTATATTATCTATAAAAACATGGTACTTTTCTCTGCAGCCTGCTGTGCACCAGTGATAATGCAGTATTATATAAGTGAAAATAGGCTTCTTCCTTTAATTCTTTGCTCTTATTTTCTCATTCTCAGCTGTGACACAGTTAGGCTTTAATAACAGATGTGCTTCTATTTATTATCCACTAAGACCAGATTAGAGAAGCCCAGACTGTATGTTGCATTTCAGTCTTGTCTGTCTCATTGATCTGAGTAAGACACAAAATCTATTTCACTGTGAGAAGTTCGTAAAAGCCAATTTTAGTGCGTTTTTTGTGACAGTTTAGCCAATTTTTTGTGCATTTTTTTTTTTTGCCAAATAAATTATCTCCGACGATGCAGCTGTCGTTTTAAACAAAGCAAAATCTCATTTTTGGACTCATTATCTTTGATAAGCAACTCACGTCTTATTGTAATGATGTTTGAAACTGTGTGTTTTAATTTGTTTGGCTCACTTGTGTCTTTTATGCTGTTTCCTGGTGTCATTATTGTTTTTTGTTTAATTTAAGTAACCCCCAAAAATAGTTTATTTTTTGTTTTTTATCTTGTCTTTATGAATAGGCTCCCAGTCTAAAAAAAAAGATGTGTGCTGAGGTGGTTTGTGGTTCAGTGGCTGTTTAAATCTGTTTTCTCACTCATAGTGGAATATTGTCTTTTTTTTTAGGCTACTGGTGTCCTTCTGCTCAAACCAAAGGTTATCCTGGACTGTCTATTCATTCCTACCTGCCATGCCATCTATTTTTGCATTGTAAACATAGCTTTTTATTCTCGCTTTGCTTTTGAAACAGTTCCATAGAAGTAACTATACAGAACAGTATTTTAAGGATAATAGAAATATAAGAACAGGGCAACAGACTGTGCTCTCACATTTTCAATAATACACAAAGCTGATAAATCTGAATTAGGGCTGCGCGGTATATGCGATAGACCAGTGTTTCCCAAAGTTGGGGTCGGGACCCAAAGTGAGGTCCCGAAACATCAAGGTGGGGTCCTGAAAAGATTTTCTGAATCAATTACATTTTTGCCTTGGTTGTTATAAATGAGTGAGGTTAGTATATTTAAAATGGATAAATGTAGTATAAAAAATATTGTTACTATGCCCTTGTTTTGTTGACCTGATGCAAATGTTTACCATCCAAAAAAAAGTTGTTGGCACAGGTCTCTGCTACTGTTTTGTACTATCTTGTGGGTCAAAAGGTAAAACGTTTGGGAACCAGTGCACTTTGGTTCCCAAAGTTGGGCTTGGGACCCAATTATGGGTCATGAAGCACCTTGGATAATCTCCAGAAATCAATTTAAAGGGTAATAAAATAATTGCTGATGTAATATTTTCCTTATAACTATGACAAAACACAAAATAAGTATAAATAAGTATTTATATTTGTGGACAAGCTGTTTAGATTGTCAAAAAGCCTGTGTTTTTAGGGTTAGTAACGAAGTTCATGTATTCAGACCAGTAATATTTGGGGTCACAAGTTTTTGCCATGGATATTTTGTGGGTCAGAAGACAAGAAGTTTGGGAACCACTGCGATAGACGGTAGAAACAATATGAAGTTGGCCTATGGCAGAAATTTACCCTCTACCGTCCTGTCGTCAATTACATTATCGCACCTGTATCAACAGGGCTGCGATATGTAAAGGAAATATATGTAATATTTATTTTTTGTTTTTCCTTTTACGTGTACATGCATACATTACATGTCTCTCAAATTAATATATTTAACTTTTTAATAATTTTTCCCACAAGTCTTTTTACTTCCATGTGTTGCTTTTACATTTTTCTGTCTCATGTAGCAAACAGCATTGCCAGACGATCACATTTGTGCAATAAATAATAAAGAAAAAAATCCCATAATCTTTGTTCATTTGACCGTTTTTAATGCATGACTGAATTAACACACGGCTGTCTGACATGAGAGAGGTGGCAGATTGCGGAACACACTGTTACCAATTTAGCAACCTTGTTGCTATATTTAGCATGTTTTCAGGCCTCTTTAAATGATTGTTTGTCAGAAAAGCGAGTAGAAAAACAAATTTAGTGACTCCTTTCTGGGGCTGTTTAGACTTTAGAGACTCTGACGTGAACACAGCTCTTTGATGAGCAGCAGGTACTGCTGTGAGCTCCTCCCTGGTCCCAAAGCACCGACAGGCGGCTCGTCCCTCACGCAGCATCTCTCCCAACAGTCAGATATTCATCCCGTCCAAACTAAACAAATTGTGCCAATGCGACACTGCTGATGACTGATCTATGATGGGATGCAAATGTAAAATTTCCTATAGGTAAAATTAATCACTGATTAAAATTTTTTTTGTCACTTTTATGATAGTTAGCATTAACTCTGTTGCGTTACTGCTGCCTTGAGACTTGACCGCCTAGATTGCCATAAAGGAAGCTTCACTGATGTGAAATGTAAATCTGTCAATGTGTGTTTGATTGCTCTGTGGTTCTCTCAAGGACCAGGGTGTGTGTCTTAATTTTTTTTGTCTTTTTCTTAGACAATGCCTCATGACAGTTTTCAGTTTGTTCTGAAACCTAAAGCCC